ACTACTGCTGCAATACTCTTCTAGGGGTTAATTCCCAAACCCTAACAGTATCTTCTCATTGCAACTATGATTTATGATATATGATCCATCACTTTGTTGTCTGTATGTACACTGAGAGCTTACACACTGGAGATGAATTCTTTGTGTGTCCAGTCACACTTGACCAATAAAGAATTCTATCTATCCATCCATCCATCCATTCATCTATTCTAAATAGGAAGTTGGATTAAATGGCCATAGTAGCTTGTTCCAGCTGTAGATTCTATTATAATGCCAGGATATTCACAAAATTATCCCAGAATTACTAAATCAGAATATCTGTATAAGCCTCAATATAACAACTAAGGAATGTTCATCTAAGTCAGAGCTGTCAAACTCATAGCCCATGGGCTGGATGCGTCATGCACTGGCCACGCCCAATTTAGTGAAGGGGGGATATGGTCACACAATACATCAAGTAACACCGCCGTGACAACACCCCTGATCTAAGTACATCGGGGTTTGAAGCCAGAAACTTGCAATCTTCTGAGATAATAATCAATAGATGAAGTGAGGACCATCAGTTAAGAGAAGATAAATTAGATAAACAACCAGCTGTAGTATATTCATTACTATTTTAGTCTATTCTAATGGACAGACAGACAAGACACTTCACATGTTTTACATACCATGAAATACATTCCATTGGTTTTTAGCAAAAATGTTAACTTACCTTGCCAACTATCATTGCAGACACAAAGTTTCTCTCCTGTCAAATCACAGTAACCGTGATCAGGACTTCCACAGTTAGCTTTACAATAAGGGATATCACAGGCTTCTCCTTTCCAATACTTGTCACACTCACAATATACTTGGCTTGGTATTGAGCCACTAGTTGTGCATTTCCCATGTCCTGAGCAGTTATTCGGACATGAATTAATTCTATAATGAACAATATCAGAAGAAATGAGTTGATGCAGCACCAAAGAGAAATAGTCATTATTTATACATTCAAGTTATTTTTTATTTTATATAAGTAATTTCTTAATTACTTCAGATTACTTAAAATTATCAAGCAACAAAACCAGAAATCAGTGATAAGATGATCATGCACTGTATTTTTATTTTTCCATAAGGTATTTTATTAGCATACTACACACTAAAGCACATCTATAAAGAAGAAATAAGTCAAGAACAATGGGTTGAAAATACAGTCTTATATATCATTCCAATTTTGTAAGACTTGGGCATTTCTATTCCACTATAGCAAAAGAAATAAAAGTAGGGTCAGCATAAAGATTTGATTTCCCAACATATTTTTAGTATTAGATTTCTAAAATATAATATTCACATAATAAATGGGGAAGAGAATGAAATAGAAAAGGTAACTATTTTGGCCTTTAGGAACATTCTGTTTATCAGACACAAGCGTGAAAGTAATTACATTTAATATGCTAAAAGCCAAAGACATGTAATATCCAAGAAAGATGGACTGTTAAGAAATCTGAAATATGAATAAATAAAATCTCACTTTTGAGTTTTGTAAAAGAGCAAAATATTCCAAGAGACGTGAATATGGAGGAAAAAGTATCAGAAATTGCTTTTACACTTTTGAAGTCTGGAGTTAAGGGCACAATTTTCAGCTCTCTATGGATCAATGCTATCATGCTTTATTCTATAAAAACTTAGCCTTTAAGTCCAAGAAATTTGTTTCTAGTTGGCCCATTTAGAAAGACCAATCCAGACAAATGAGCAAATGATTATGTATATATGGGTCTGCGTCTGTGAACATGAACAGAGAAACAGAAAGACAGAGACCAGTATACACACACTCTCAAAATCTATACATTTCCTTGAACAGATTGTACTGTCTAAAACATTTTTTCAATCTATCTTCTTTGAGATACAAGTTCACACACTAATAAATACAGGTAGTCCTCATTCAGCAATCACTCATTCAGGGATCATTTATAGATATCACAGTGCTGAACAAAGAAACTTATGACCAGCCCTTGTAGTTGCAACCATGATAGCATCTCCACGGTCATTTCATCACATGGGTGATTTGCAATTACTACATCACAGGGGAACAGAGTCAAATGATCGCCACTTGTGACTTCATTGCCAACTTTTAACAAGGTCCATGACTGGCAGGAGATTGCAAAAGGTGCTGTGACCATGTAATATTCGCTTAACTGCAGCAACCAAAACTGTCACAATTGCTGTTGTAAGTCAGTGCAGTTACAAGGTATCATGCTTAGCAGAGGCATTCCCAATCCCAACTACCATCATTGAACAAGGACTACCTGCAATAACAGATGCATTAAACACAGTAACTACTAAGTATTCTTTAAAGTGGGAGTCTCCAACCACCAGGCTGTGGCCCACTACCAGGCTGTGGCCTATTTGGAATTGGGACACATGAAAGGTGGGCTGGCACACACACACCCAGCTCCACTCTTGCAAGAAATTCCATCAATAGTCAAGAGTTCATAAAAGCAGTAGCTCATGCAGCCCAGTTCCCCTCCCCCCCACCATCAAGCCAGTCCGCAAAGGACTTGCTTTAAAGACTTCTTGACTATTGATGGAATTCTCTTTATTAACATTTTTCAAGCTATATGTGTGTTACGTACATTCTTCTCAAAATCAAATTTTCATAAGCTTACTTCAAATGTTTTAAGCTCCAGGTCTCACATAATAAAAGAAATACATTGCCAATTAATTAACAGAAACATAATAGATAAGAAATACTTACGAGTAAAAAATATTAAATCCTGTTAGATTATAAGCAGCATCACTAAAAAAGTGTAGCAGTGCATAGCCAGATGTAGTTACTACTTCAGGTACAGTTTCATTTCCATGTACTTCTGGAACTATAAGACCACTGCAGAATTTTAAACATAAGAGATATGGATTATTAATAAACAGTAAAAAGCTGGAGATTTGAACAAATCACACGAGTTCTTAGCATAATTTGGAAAATTGCATTCCATTGTAATGTTTAAAGCAAAACACAGTGAGAAATATAAATATTTGCATACTGAATTAGTCAGAATTTCTAAATGATTTTGATTTTTTTAAATGTCTGATTTCCATACAATGCAGTTTAAAATAAGAGAATTCTGGAAATCAATTCTAGAAATGCCATAAAAATAACACAGTCAAAATGTATAAAGGCAATATTTCAGTTTTTAAAAAATTAAAAATTAAAATCAGTGTACAGAAGCAACTTTTAAACATATGTTTTATTTCAAAGATTCAGGTTTACAATGTAGGCATAATTTTGCACAGATTGGCTTAAGTGTAGTCTATATAACCAAGCCGCCACTAAGTCTTTTTCAATAGGCACGTCACATATTTTTCTCCACCTGTATCTGGTCCATGGAAAAATCAACGACCACATTCTTTTCTTGCTACAAATCCAAAAGGATATTTTCTCATTTTTCTGCAATAGCAGCAATAGCAGCACTGTCTGGTTTACCTGCTATACTTCATTTCTATTCCAGTTGCACACTATAAAGGAATTCCCTTTTCTCTAGCTACATTTTTGTTCTCTGTAGACCTGCTGCACTGTCTATCTCATTCTGAAGGGTCTTTAACCAATAAATCTGTTCCTCTAGCCATTTTTAATAAGTTAACAAGAAAATGAGTAAAACCTTATTGTTTTAATTTTTAAGAGGTGAAACAAGAGTTTGCCCTCCATCCCAGACAGAAAAAAATAGTCTTTCTTTCTTACTTTCTTTTTCTTTCTTTCTCTTTCCTTCCTTCCTTCTCTTTCTTTCTTTCTTTCTTTCTTTCTTTCTTTCTTTATTTATTTATTTATTTATTTATTTATTTCTCGATATTCAAAATAGTCAGGGTAAAATTTTAAAATGATGGGTTTGCTAAACATGGCTCATGCTGAAATGGTTAAAAGAAGGATCTTTAAAAAGGTAGTAGAGGGGGTACTACATACTGCCATCCAGTCTGAAACTTCTACTTAATGCACATTTTATAACACTGTAATAAAAGCTATTAAGCTAAAATACTCACCTAAATACAGCTATTAAAGGTGCATATATTGAATCTCCATCATAAACATACATATGATCCCAACTACATTCTGTTGCAAAATGATTAAATCTTAATCGTAAAACTGAATTAGGGCTAGGAGAGAAAAGCAAGAAACAGCACTTAAAAATGGAACATTTTATAATGAAATGTACATATAAGCATGTCAGTACAGTATTAAAGGCAAGACTTGTATGCAAATGCCACTGTCAATTTTATGATTATGCATTTTTAAAAATTGTAATATGTGGATGCAACTATTGCATAAATTTTAGACATTTCTTTGCAAATGAGAAAATCCAATCTGAACCTGTGGAACTAAAAACTATTTGCTGATTCAGATGTTGGAATATCTGTCTGGAAACAGGCTCTTTACCTACATGGTCTCTCCTTACCCTCATACTCTTTTCTTCACCATGTACAGCAAACTATACTTTATTATGACACATTTGCTTAAGCTTAACTTAGCTTAAACTTAGAAAATACATTGTGGATGAGATTAGGCTGTTGTATAAAACCATTTAGCTCAATTCATTGGATATTCAAATATGGCCTGAAAATTATCAAAAAGAAATATTCTACTCATTCAAACTAGTATTATTTTAATTTGTAAGAATGCCAATTTCAACATCTTTATCTGCTCAGCAATAAAATCAATATCTGTTATTTGGAACTGCTATATTGATTAATATCAAAACCAATGATATGAGAAAATGTATATTGGCATCAGACTATTATCAGGCCAAAGAGAGATAGGACACACTTATAATTCACAGTATCAGGCATTGCTTGACATTTTTCACGGCAGGTAACTTTGTAGGTCCATTTCTGCAGCCAGTTAAGCTCACAAATAATGGGCAGATATGACCATCAAAAGCTGCAATGCCATTCTGCAATTCTATCATGGATGTAGAATTAGTCATATATTCCTTGTCTGTATTTCGTATTTAATTCTCAACAATACATTTCTCAATTTTCCCCCCTGAAATATAACTGGTGCATCAAGAGTTCTTTAGAAAATCATCAAAAGTTCTTTAGATAATTATCATTACAAAATCTTTGCAACCAAGTTATAGAAAACAATCATTTTTTAACTTAAAATTGTCAGATATCTGTAAAGAGCAAAGTGTATAAACAACATTAATTAAAATATACTTACTATCCTTCAATTAACCATGTACATTTAGTTTTGTATTTATAATTTATGGGCCCATCCGTTAAATATCCAGAAGATTCAGTTAACCTACAAAAAAAGTAAGTTTTTAAAGCTATTTTTCTTTGCAAAGTACATACAAAAATATTACAATTTGAATGAAGTTTAAAAGAAGAATTTTATATAAAATCATGTTTGAACTAAACTACATTTCTTATCTTTTTTCACTCATTAATATTTGCATACATATTTGCATGCATTCAGTTGCATACAAGTGTACCAAACTGGGTTGCAGCATGATAATAAGATATTGACGCAAGCCAGTGTAATGGGGAACTTACAATCAAGTTTATTTTATACCAAAAAGTCTTCAAAGCAGGTAAATACTGCAACTGGGGAAAAGATTCTAGAGGAAGAACTTACTATTAATCAATAAGCAGTGTACATAATTCATAATAAAAATTTCCAGGCACAAAATAAAAATGCACTATAATTCAAATAATAAACCTGCAAAATATTTATTATATAATACCCTTGAAAATTAAAAAAATAAATGAATTTCTTTTCAACCTTTCTTTTCAAAATCTTCAGAGCTTGGAAACCATCAAGGACCTTTTTCTATCAATTTACAGCAAAGAGACAGAGATAGAAATAAATAGAATAGATTGTCTTCTGTAGACTGCATCAGTTGCAAACCTTTGAACCATAAGACTATACAGTTGTTAATTAATCACTATTAGTTTGGACCACTGTAGTGTGCTATACAAAGGCATACCTTGGAAAACCACATGGAAACCGCAAGTGCTAAAAAATGCAGTGGCCCTGTTATTGTAAGGTTCTTACCACCAGAAACACATTGTTCTTGTGCTGCATGTCCTGCATTGATTGCTAATAGGTTTCTGAAACGTAAATGTGATATAGCAGTTAAGATGTTAAACTAGTATCTCCTCAGCTATGGAAAATTGACAGAATGATTTTGGACTAATCACTCTCTCAGATCATCCTACTTCAAAATACTAACAGAATTGCCTTCTACAACTAGAATCAACTCATCCAGTACAATTAGGTCAGCAGAATTTGTTGGTTAGTCACTTTTTAATAAAATAGAGTAGGAGGGGACTAAAACCAGCAGGTGTTAAATACTGTATTTATGGACCAGCTTTTTCTTAGACATGAATTTTGTGCCATCTTCAACAACATTCCAATATTTGGTTAAGGTGAAAGAGTTCCACAGACATGTAGTAATTAATATATTGATACTGTTGGTTTTTATATTGTTAATCAATTATTGTTCAGTTATGTTAATTATGACAATTATTTATCTATTTGTTTTACCAAGGTTGTCTTAATTGTACAATTGTACAAAATTTTAAATAAACATCTCTTAACACAGTGTGACATGAACCTATGACATGTGTCTTTCTAGTATGTAATCACTCTACTGTTTTATTAATTTTTTATCTACTAATCTGGAGTAGATAAAAAAAATTAACCCCCTCAGTCTAGTCTAGTAGATCAACTACCCTTGAGATAGTTGCTCCAGCTCCTGCCCACCTATCAATTCGAAAGCATGCAAATACAAGTAGATAAATAGGTATCATTTAATGGAACGGTAACAGTGTTCTATGAGTCTCAGCATATAATCGTGCTGGTCACATGAACAAGGAAATGTCTTCAGATGTCTTCAGACACTGCTGGCTCCCTCAGTGGAGATGAGCACCATCCCCTAGAGTGGGATACGACTGGACAGAGGAAATCTTTGCCTTTTCTTTAATGTTTATATGTGTTTTTCTAATAATTGTAATCTATTTTTATGCTTTTTAAATTATTTTTATTGTTGTACTCACCTACTCACACTTATACTAGTCTTTGACCATAATAAAGGTTTGAACTGAATTGAGTTCTAGTCCCATTTTAAGCACAAAGCCAAGTGGATGAACTTTGAACCAGTCATTCACTCTCAGCACTAGGAAGCAAACCAAATCCAAAAGGCCTGCAGGCACTTACCCAGGTAGTTGCCAGGAATCAAAACCTGATTCAAAGGCATAGAAAACAAGGCACTTCTTATACCCCGGATGCCGACTATTTAATGTGCAGGATTATTCTATAAACCCAATTTTATGTTTTCTCACAACACATTGAACAAAAAATTAACCTACATAGGCTTCGTTTGCACATCACATCTTCAATGTAATTTGCTAGGTTGTTATTTAATTGCAAAGCAGAAGTACGTATGAGAATCAGAAATGCCTTGGACATTCAAAAAAGCAACAAGCTGAAGGGCCAAATTAGGCTGTTAATCCTATCAAGGCTTTTTAAAATATCTATTAGCATCAAAATCAGTTATTCGTTCATAGCTATGTTCTGATTGACCACTGACATGATCTCTAGGAAATTCTGATGACTCTGATTCTGAAGAATAGACTGGGATCACTCTCATATAACAAGTAAACAATGTGAAAAATATGTGGCCTTCAGAGATAGACCCAGGGCCCACATCCTCTTCATCCTAGGGCATGCAGTGAGGAATGGAGAAGAGAGCAATGTGGGCTGCGTGGGTTTACGGGGGAGAAAAGGGCCCTAATTCCCCTCATTAGCCACAGCTGGGGAGACAGTTGATAAGAAAGGCAGACTGCGCGCAGCAGGTTGCTGGGAGCAAATGTGTTGTCATGGCTTATCTGTGTTCCTGGCATCTTCCCAACTGTGTGAGTTTTGCCGTGCTTTCAAGTCTGAAATTCTTGCTCCTGCCCTGCCAAGCTAATTACTTCATTACTGTTTGGACTTTAAGTTATAGTTTGTATTGCTCATGTTTTGGACTTAATTTTCTGCAGTCAAAGGCTGTTCCTGGGAGAGTTTTTCTGCAGCCAGAAGGTAATCTGGACATTGGGGGCAAAGTTGGAGATAATAAAGGGATTCTTATTGCTTATCTGATTGTGTTGCCATCTTCATCACAAAGTCCCTCCAAATTTCAGAAGTGGTTTGGCATTGTCTTGATTCTTTCAAGGGCTGAGAAAGTGGGAATGGCCAAAGGTCACTCAGCTAGTTTTCTGCCTAGGCAAGGCTAGAACACAAGGCTAGATAACCATCCCTTGGGAGTACCGAGACACTAGTTTCCTGGCCAAGGCAGGAGATTGGACTAGATGATCCCCAATATTTCTTCCTACTTTACATTCTATGGTTCTGTGAAAAAGAAGAATATAAGAAAGGAAATTGTATCAGATGAATCTATTTCTCAGAGCTCCACATTGTGAAAGATAAGTCTGACAAAATCAATTTAAAAATGTAATAGTTATGGAAATGAAAGGCACATGAAGACAGGCCAGCCAACAGAATAGGCCATTTTACAGTATGAAAATGAAAATGAAAAGAGAGTTTAAACTATTTCTTTTCAGAGCAGTGAATTCACAGCATTTTTCTATTATCTTCAATAAATATTACTTACCTGTGGTTCCTAAATTTCTGTGAGCATGTCTCAGTGGTTTATTTCTTCTGTATTTCTTCACTACTTCCATGTAGTAAAGTCGGTCACACTTAAGTTATCATTTTAGTTGTTAATAGGTTCTAAAAATCTTTGCTGTTTCCATGCAATCAAAATTGATGTTCTACAGAAAGCACCAGTTATACACAGTAATGGAATGGCTGTTTACAGCTTCTACAAAAATCCAGTTTCTTGGAACTGTCTGCTTAGAACCAACTGATTGTATTCTTCTGTAAACAATTTGAGCAACAATCTCTTACACCAAAGTAGCAGTAATTTATCTAGTATACCTATTCCTAAGCAAATAGAGATAGGTGGCAAATGAAAACAAACCACAATGTATACATTTATTGTTTGCATGCAACTTTCCATACCAAGGAATGAAAATAAGTGTGGAGATTATGAAGTGTATAAAAAATTTAATTTGGCTAAATTCTCAGCAGGATTATGGATAGTATACAGATGAAATGGCCATGAGCAACATGCGGAGAAGTTCTTTGTTTGCATGGCATAGCTTTAAATTATCCATTTGCACTGCAGTGGCTTTACAATTACTATATTATCTGAACATGTTACATTTGTTCTTTCAACCAAATAGAGGAAACTGAAACAACCTTAGACAAGATAGCTTGTCTCTTCTAATGGAAAAAGCCATTTTGCTTTCTCTGGATACCATAGCAACAACATTATCTTAATGCTCTAACTTTAACTTTGGGAATTAATCACTAAATTCCCAGAATCTAATACAATTTAAATGTATTAAAATGTGTTAAATGCATTTAAATTAAGACGCAAAGGGTCTTCTGGCATGCTAAAGATGAGCACATTTATAAAATAGTTGTCTATTCATTCAATATGTCACAATAATTCTGTTGAAAATATAATAATAGGGAATGTAGCAAAAAGGATGGAAACAGAACAGATGGCAATAGCAAAAGAAAAAAAGATTTTTTTCAAAAAGCAAAATGAAAGGAGAAAGAAGCATTGAAGTTTTTCAAAATAGCCAGGTTCACATTCAAAACAATAAAACAGAAATCCCAATGTGAAAGACTAGCAAGAATTTGCATGAATCTTCTTTTCAACAAACAAACAATACTATTTTTTTATTTACGACCATGACTGCAAATGCATTGTTAAGCAGTGTAGGCCATTAAATGAAGCATCACATAGTCATAACTTGTGATTTTCCCGACCAGCTTCCCAATTGACTTTGCTTAGCAGATAACAGATAATCAGAGTTGGAAGGGACCTTGTAGGTCATCTAGTCCAACCCCCCGCCCAAGCGGGAGACCCTACACCATTCTGACAAATGGCAGGCCAATCTCTTCTTGAAAGTCTCAAGTGATTGCGCTCCCACAACTTCCGAGGACAAGCTGTTCCATTGGTTGATTGTTCTCACTGTCAGAAAGTTTCTCCTTATTTCCAGGTTAAATCTCTCCTTGTTCAGTTTACATCCATTATTCCTTGTCTGGCCTACAGGCGCTTTAGAAAACAGCTTGAACCCTTTCTCCCTGTGGCAGCCCCTCAAATATTGAAAGACTGCTATCATGTCTCCCCTGGTCCTTTTCTTTATTAGACTAGCCAAGCCAGTTCCTGCAACCGTTCATTGCAT